AGGTCAGCCTTGGCTACAGAGTGAGCTTAAGACCAGCCTGAACTGCACAGTGAAACACTGAGTTGCTGTTATGGTTTGTGTCTGGGTGTACCCCCAAAGCCTCATGCGGCCATGGGGCAGGCTTTTAGAGTTTGATTGATTATGGATGTGAGAGCTACACCCGCCCTGGGGTGGATAGTTTGCATACGTAAGGAAGAGGAAGAGGATACTTCTGGCCATTTCCTCCCTTGTGTGTGCTTGTTGCTTTGCTGTGTTCTACCGACGTGAGCTATAGCCCTCTGCCATGTGCCACTCTGCCTTATAATCTGCCAAGTACGGACTGAAACCTCCACAAACTGTAAGCGAAATAAACCTTTCCTTCCTTAATTTTGGGCGTCAGGTATTTTGTCCCAGCAACGAGAGAAAAGTAACCAAGACAGTTGCCCAGGATGGGCTTGAATTTGTAATCCTCCTGCCTCAGCTTCCCAAAGAGCTGGAATTTCAGGTGTGCACCACCTTACCCAGCTTATGACAGCTTTATTTATAATTGCCAAAACCTGAAATCTACCAAGGTAATTGTATAAATTAACTGTGCTACATACAGACAATGAATTTTCTTTTTCAATTCTAGAAATTGACCTCAAGGCAAAGCACGTGCTCAACCACTGAGCTGCACTCCCAGCTCCTCAAACAATGAAATATTATTCAGCACTTAAAAGAAATGAGCTATCGAGCCATCGAAAGACAGAGGAAACTTAGATGCATATTATGAAGTGAAAGAAGCCAATCTGAGGGCTGGGGATGTAGCTCAGTGATAGAATACACGCTCAGCACACACAAGGCCCTTGGTTTGATCTGCAGCACTGAAAAAAATACACCTTCCATCCATTTGCTTCATTTCTTTTCTTCACTTTTTTTTTAAATGAACTGTCACCATGTTACCCAGACTGGTCTTGAACTGGTGGGCTCAAGCCATCCTCTTGCCTCAGCCTCCCAAGTAACTGAGACTACAAGGACAAGCTCAGAATTTGAAACAAAATTTACCTTTATAAAATTACATTGCATAGAATGAGGGTATAGCTGAGTAGCACAGCACTTGCCTAGTATTTCTAAGGCCCTGGGTTTGATTCCCAGCACCACAAATATAAATACAAGTACAAATGCAAATGCAAATACCAATACCAATACCATACCAAAAAAAAAAAAAAAAAAATTGGGAGGAAATCTTCATGGATTTAGAAATAATTTCATGAATATTGTACCAAAAGCAGAGAAAACAGAAGAGAAAATAGATAAGTAAGTCAAAACTAGAAACTTTTGTGTAACAAACAACATTATCAAGAGAGTGAAAAGCCAGACAAAATGATGTGAGCTTATAGTCTCAGCTACTCAGAAAGCTGAGGGAGTAGGATCTCTTGAGCCCAGGCATTACAGGCCAGCTTGGGCAACATAGCAAGACCCCATCTCAAAAAAAAAAAAAAAAAAAAAAAAGAGAGTGAGAGAGAAACACAAATTGGAGAATAGGAGAGAGTATTTGCAAATTATAAATCTGACAAAGGTTATATAAATATCCCTTAAAAATAAAATATATCCAATTCAAAAAATACAACAAAGGACCTGGACATTTCTCCAAGAAGATACACAAAAGGTCAATAAGCCTATGAAAAGATGCTTTGAATTGCTAGTCATTAGGGAAATGCAAACCAAAATCACAACAGGATACCATTTCATACCCACTAGGTATAGTTATTACAAACATTTTTATAAAAAGAAAGACAAATATTGGTGAGGACGTGTAAAGACTACAAGGAACCCTTGTGCATAGCTCACAGAAATGTAAACTGGTACAACTACTGTGGCAAACAGTTTGGTGGTTCCTTAAAAAATTAAATGGAAAAAAAAAAAAAAAGAAAAGAGCCACGCATGGTGGCGCACACCTGTAATTCCAGCAGCTGGGAGGCTGAGGCAGGAGTATCACTGCAAGTTTGAGGCCAACCTGGGCTACAAAGTAAACTCAAGGCCAGCCTGAACTACGTAGAGAGGCACTGTCTCAAAAAGACAAAAATAAATAAATAAACGAAATCAGGCAGTCATAAAAAGGCAAATACTTTGCTTTTACATACATAAGTTATCTACAGTAGCCAAACTTGACAGAAGCAGAAAGTAGAATGGTAGCTGCCAAGCCTTGGGGTGAGGGAGAAATGAGGTACAGACAACGGTGGGAAGTTTCAGTTTCATATGTGAAGAAGTTCTTGAGTTTGGTTCTACAATGATGTGAATATACTTACTACTACTTAACTGTACACTTAAAAATGGTTAAGATGATAAATTTTACGTTGTACATTTTATCACAATTGCTTAAAAAAAAAGTTAAACATAAAGCTACTATTTAACCTAGCAATTTCACTTAGAGGTTAGAAAGAAACTGAAAGCAGAGACTCAGAGGAACTGAGAAAACTCGGACGCCGTGCTTCCACGTCAGTGTTCACAGAGCATTATTCACGACAGTCAAACGACAGAAACAACTTAATATTCACAAATAACGGATGGATAAACAAAATACTGTAAATGCACACAGTACAGAAGCATTTAGCTATAAAAGGGGTGGAATTCTGATACAGTATATGATACAACACTGAAAATGCTCTGCTAAGTGAATCCGAACACAAAAGAACATTGTATGAACCTGCTTGCATGAGAAACAGAAAACAGAATGGCAATTCCTAGGGGGTGGAAGAAGGGGGAAATGGTGACTTAATGTTTAATGGTGCAGAGTTTCTGTTTGGGATGATAGAAATGTTTTGAAAACAGGTAACAGTGACGGTTGCACAATACCGTAAATGTAATTTATGCCACTGAACTGCACACTTAAAAATGGTAAATATGGCTGGTCCTGGTGGACACAGCTGTAATCGCACACACTTGCAAGGCCGAGGCAGGAGGATCGCTGCAAGTCTGAGGCCAGCCTGTGCGATATAGTGAGTTCAAGGACAGCCTGGACTACATAGTGAGAGCCTGTCTCAAAAAAAAAAAAAAAAATAGCCAAGTGCATGTTATGTGTATTTTATCACAATAACTTCTTTAAAGAGAAAGAAAGAGACCAGGAGAACAAGGAATGACAGGTGGTAAGAAGAGAATTTTATGGAGTCATTATGGTCCAAAGATAATAAGACATGGAAAAGTATAGCTAAAGAGAATATACAAAATAAACTCTTTTTTTGTTAAAAGAATATTTTTCAGCTCTGGTTGGAATAATTTAGTAAATTAAAAATACGGGAAAGACAGAAGAATTTAAGTAAGTTTAGTAAGGAAACAGAAATAGGAATTACAATACCAAGGCAAACAAGGACACAGCAGCATGGCCAGCTCACCCCCACGGCTGGGGCGGAGCTCAGCAAGTGTGTGAAGAGTGGAGCCAGCAGCCAGCCCTGGCGAAGGGAGCCTCTGGGGTTCTCTTCCGCTTCCTGCCATTCTCTCAGAGAACTAAGAAGGAAGTTCCTCCCTGAGGATGAGGACTACAGAGGAACACTGGAATTTTATAAGAGAAAAAGGTATGAAATAAGCTGGGAGAATGAATGAACTAGAGAAATGTGATTGCTTGAGACTACTACGGGCTCAATATTATTAAAAAAAAAAAGAAAGAAAGAAAACAAGCAGGGCCGGGGATATAGCTCAGCAGCAAAAGTGCCTGCCTGGTAAGTGCAAGGTCCCAAGTCCGATTCCCGATAGCAAAAAAAAAAAAAAAAACCAAGCAAATGAGGTGAGAGTGACACCTGCCTGCAGTCCCTACCTAGGAGACTGAGACAGGAGGATTGCTCCAGGCCAGGATAGCTCCACACCACAGTGAGATGGTCTCAAGAAAATGAAATACATAGACACAAACACACACACATACATACATACATGTATACATACAAACATACATGCATGCACACCTACATACAAACAGGCTCCAGGTATGGGTTAGTGGCAGAATGTTTAGCATACATGAGGTCCTGGGTTTCATCTTCAGCATGACAAAAATATAAGCAAACAAAGAACTATGTGTGCATAATTTATATATACATATGTAAGATATGTGCGTATTTGTATAAATATAGAAAAGGGTCCAGAAGTATACACATCAACTGGAAAATAGTGGTTATTATTGGAGAGCATACACACACACACATACACACATATATGCATGAACACACGTAGAATGTTTGTCTCCCCCACATAAGTGGGGGAGACAAAGGTGAGAGAGACACCTATTTTCTTTACAATTTTTTTGTAGGCAATATGATTATATATTTGGAACTTCCAAAATAACTGAAAAACCATACACAATAGGAAAATTCAATAAAATAAACAGAATCTAAAGAAATCTTCTATATTCTTTAAATTTTTTATCAGCATGATTTGGTTTGGCTTGATTTGTAGTACTGGAGATTGGATTTAAGGCCTTCACACCGAGCTACATCCCCTGCCCTTTATTTTTTTTTTTTTTTTTTTTTTTTTGTGGTTTTTCTCCGGTACCGGGAACCGAACTCACGACCTTGCACTTGCCAGACAGGCGCTTTGCCGCTGAGCTAAATCCCCAGCCCTATTTTTTTATTTAAAGACAAGGTCATGCTAAACCATTAAGTTGTCCAGGCTGAGCTAAAATTTTCAATCTTCCTGCCTCAGCCTTCCCAAATGCTGGTATTACAGGTGTGTGCCATACCTGGTTGACCATGTATTATTTTATTATTAAGTCAAATTATCTCACAAGTTAAGAAAGAGTGTGTGAAGAGAGTTTAGAACAGTAATAAAGATCCAGTGCACCCTGACTAAGCAAAATCTCTGTTCCATTTAAACACATCAGGCCGGGGATGTAGCTCGGCAGCACAGCGACACAGCACCCATCAAGCAAGGGCAAGGTCTTGAGTCCAATCCCCAGTACCAAAAAAAAAAAAAAAAAGAAATTAAGCACAACTACTAGCTCTGCAGTGAATTAGACATCTGCAAGACAATATGAAAACTGCTGAGGCATCTCTCACCTTGAACACTTCAGAGAAGAAGCCAGACCCTATTTTTTCACAAGTAAAGTCATCCAAACGTGTCAGTCTGGAAAAGGCACTTATAAGAGCTCGATACGAAGACGTCCACACTTTCCCTGCCTGGGTCGCGCTTCCGTCCCCTCCACCACCTCCTTCAAACTCCTCAAGACGCTCCACTCGTGGGGGAAATCCCGCAATTGAATTCCGCTTGCTGCGATCCATAATCCAGTAATCACTTTTTTCTTCTTTTTAAGAAAGAACTTCACACATAATAACTTTTTGTTGAATTTTACTTCTCTTCCAGTTTGACACTAAACAAAAGACAAAAAAAGTCCATTAAAACCATAAACAAATATATGCAAATCAAAGAACTATCAATGTAAAAATATTTCCTTTCTCATTCTATCTCCTGATTTTCATACCTAAATACTTTTACGTTTTTAGCTTGAAAAAACACTGATATACCTAAAACTCAAAATGGGATCATTCTTTAATATAAGTGGAATATAACGGAGATCATCAGTTGCAGTCTAAGTAACAAAGTAACAATGATAGTATCTCATTCATTAACCACCTACTTTCCAGGAAATGCAGTATGGGCTAGGGGTATAGCTCAGGGGCTGTATGCATACTTATTCTGAAATAATCCATAATAAAGATTATTACATTCATTTCACAGAGAGATGACTAAATGTCGGAGATAAAATCATAACACTGAGCCAGGCGTGGTGGCAAACACCTGTAATCCCAGCACTTCGGAGGTTGAGCCAGGAGGATCATTGCAAGTTCGAGGCCAGCCTGGGCTACAAAGTGAGCTCAAGGCCAGCCTGAACTGCACAGCAAGACCCTGTCTCAAAAAGACAAAAGGAACAAAAAAATTACAATGCCGCCATTCATAGTGGTATATGCCTGTAATCCCAGCTACTACGGAGGCTGAGGCAGGAAAATTGCAAGTTGAAGGCCAGCCTGAGCAATTTAGTGAGACCCTCTCTCAAAATAAAAAATAAAAAGGAATGGAGACATAGTTCATTGGTCCTGGGGTCAGTGGTCAGTACTGCAAATGAAAAAGAAAAGAGCAAGACTGACTAAAAAGTGCCCTTCATAGCCTCACATAATTTTCTCCTAATCTGAAAAATTATTAAGTCAAATATAAATCAAATATGACAAAGACTTCAAAATCATATCAGAATAAAAGTATAAAAATAAAACTATATCTAAAAATTCACTATTGAATAAGTAAATAACACAGGCCAGTAGAATGATTAGAGGGCTCTACCTTATCAGTATATACATAACTAAAAATAAAAGTACAAGCTCACCTTTTATTTTTGGCTAGCTCTCCCAAATTCTACTTTCTTTCTATGATAATCATAAAGATCCTATGCACTTGGGAAGCTGAGGCAGGAGGATCATTGACAGCTCGAGACCAGCCTGGGCTACAAAGTGCACTCAAAGCCAGCCTGAGCTGCACATTGAGACCCTGCCTCAGAAAGACAAAAAACAAACAAACAAACAAAAAGTAGGCTTGGCTGGGCATGGGGGTGTACACTTGTAATCCTAGCATTCAGGAGGCTGAGGCAGGAGGATCACGCTGAGTTCCAGCTCAGCCTAGGCTACAAAGTGAGTTCAAAGCCAACCTGAACTGCACAGTGAAACCCTGTCTCAAAAAGAAAAAAGAAAAACAAAGAAAAGAAGGCTCAGGGTTTTAAGTAACCTGTCTGAGCACACACAACTGATAGAACAAGGCTTGGAACCAATCTCTACCCAGCCCCAAGACTTAGAATTTTTCCATTATTACTTAGTTCAGTGTTTTTCCACCTGAGCTGAGAGGAGTTAAACTGGTCACCTGGGCAGAGTACAGATGACAGCCGGGTTGATTGTAATTTGGATGGAAACAGAAAAAAAGAAAAAAGAAACAACTTCAGAAAAATAAGCCACAGTAACATGAAACTGAATACACAGGACATAGTTGCTTGCTAAATTAACTGTCCACTTGGACAGGTTTGCCATCTACTGACTTGTTTTCCAGTACTGGGGACTGACCCCCGGAGCACTCGCGCTCTGAGATACACTCCCAACACTTCTTAAGTTTTTGTTTTGAGACAAAGTCCTTATTACATTGCCCTCAGTGGCCTCAAACTCAAGATCCTCCTTCCTCAGACTCCTCCCTAGCTGCCTAACATGTGGTGTTCCACCCACCTGGGACCACTACTGACTTTTCCATTGCTTGAGATACAGTTCATTTTTAATGAAATACATTATTCATCTGAAGGCCCTCAGGGTGTACGGGGATAGCAGGTCCTAGTTCTCCACACACAAGCATGGAAGACAAAACTGCTGCAGCTCAACAATTTGGTTTTACATTCTCAGCTGGGCAGCAGGAGGTAAGACACTGCTAATTACAGCTAACCTGGTTTGATGGGGAGTCCTGTTACAAGTTTTACAGTAGCACAATTCAATGACTATTTTGATTATTTTCATTTTGAAAAATAAATAACAATATATCTTTGCACATAGCACTTTTCAAGAGGGAGAAAGAGTATTTTTTAAATTGTATGCTAAGGACCGGGGATATAGCTCAGCGGCACAAGCGCCTGCCTGGCAAGCACAAGGTCCTGAGTTCAATTCTCGGTACCTAAAATAAAATAAAATAAGTTGTATGCTAAGAGAATTCCCACTGCTAAGTAATAGGAACCCTAAACAAAGATACTCATTTCATTTTACCATTGTATGGAATGAGGGCAGGGAGGTGACAGGCTGAAGTTCACCAGTAGGAACTGAACTATACAGCACTTACATAAATAAAGTATATCTAACAACGATGAGCAATGACATAGTGAATTATATCCAGTGTATTTCAAAAGCAATGTCGGGGGAGGGACAGCAAGTTTAGTTGGAGGTAGCCTTAAAATATCAATCAAAAAATCCGCCCCCCAGCACAGAGGGACTGAGCTACATCCCAGCCCCTCTTAAAAAAAAATTTTTTTGCCTTTTTGAGATAGGGTCTCCCTATGCAGTTCAGGCTGGCCTTGAGCTCACTTTGTAGCCCGGGCTGGTCTCAAACTCACAAGGATCCTCCTGCCTCAGCCTCCCGAGTGCTGGGATTACAGGCATGCACCGCCATGCCCAGCTTCCTCTTAAAAATTTTTATACTGAGACACGGTCTTGCTAAACTGCTACACTGAGTAGGCTCAGCTGGAACTACACTCTACCTCAGCTTCCCAGGGTGCTGTGATTACAGGTGTGCAGCACCACACACAGCTCAAAAAAAGCTTTCTAAATTGAGCATGGTAGTATACACCTATAATCTCAGCTAGTCAGGAGGCTGAGGCAGGAGGATTTCAAATTCAAAGCCAGCTTGACCAATTTAGGGTTCAACAATCTTGTCTTTAAAAAACATTTTGTAAGAGGTTAAGGATATAGCTCAATAGAAGAATGTCCCTGGTTTAATCTCAACAGTTTAGTTGAGTTGTTTAGTACCAACAACAACAACAAAAACTTTTTAATTACAAAAAAAGTTGCAAGATCACCTCCATAATGCATCATATGGCCTATAGAATAAACAATTTGAGTTCAATTTTGGCTCCATTAATTTGAAGCTGTATGAACCTACACATTTACTTAACCTTTCTACATCTCCAGTTCCCACACTAGAAATAAAAACAGTAGCTACTCTGTGGTGGAGCATTTATATGTCTAGCATGTGCAAGGCCCTCGGTTCAATCCCTAGTACCAAAAACAAAACAGCAGCAGTGTAATTACTATACATTTTATAGACAATACATTTTATTAATATTTTAATATATTTTATATATCAACTCATTCAATATTTATAACAACCACAGGATTATAGATTAGATTAATAGCACCTGGCAAGCAGTAAATCCTCAACACCTGTCACAATTATTAAAGACAGATATTTATAGTGAATATCTAAAAGTATGAACTAAAAAGATGATGAAGTCATAGTATAATTGCCTCAGAGGGAAAGAAGAAAAATGAGACAAGGTAGGAAAACAAAAGGGATTTCAACTATAGTCATAATCTTTTGTTTCCTTTTCTTAAAACAATGAACCCACAGCAGACACAAAATGATATAC